TAGGCAATAGTTGGCTAGTTCTCACTCCTTTTCCAAGCATACCTGTCAAGCGAGCTAATGTGGGAAAGGCTGCACTACTGTATATCACTCCCAATGCGGTCCTTCCATATCTTCCTAGGTCTACCTCAAACCCTGAACTCTGAGACAGCCCTGGTGCAAGACGAAGCTTGCTGGCTATGACCAAACCATCTAAGACAATTGAAGAACAGCACTGATGTTATATCCTTGATAACGAGCCTTGTTAACAACTCAAATGAGGGGGGTGGTATCACTTTTGGTGCCATAAAGACAGCAAATCATTGAGCGATTGTTGCAGTGGATCTGCCACAAGACTGGTGCACTTGATGCCCAAGTATCACTGGTGTGGGACAGTGCAGATTGTACACATGCAGAGAACAATTTGTCACGAGTTCTCAATGATGTGTTTAGATGTGAGAATGGGTAGGAGCTTTTTGAATTTACCCCCAAGCAACCTCCCCACCTGCATGGAGTATATCCCCACAAAATAACAGAAGCAAGGCTCAATATCCATTTTTGAACTGTCCAAAATGACTTGGGTAGTGGGTCTGCTATCAATAGGGTGCGCTTCACCATGGCTTTTAGGGCAGTATAATCTAGTAGTTCTGCATTTCTTATGCACTCAGGTTAATATCATGAAAAAGTTGCCACCATGACAAAATCTATTATGAGATTCAAACACAGGGTTTCATGATTAGAAAGCTAACATCCTAAACTTGAACACAAACCTATTAGAAATTAATATGCTAACCTACATAGTAGGTGTATAAGCAAAAACTTCAATATTATACAAACACTTTGATTTGTATTATTTGACGTATGATAATTATTAAGTGTGTGTGTGTGTGTTGGGTGTGATACACTTAAAGAATGTGTCATTTTATACTTCGCTGTTAATGATATTACTTTTTAAAGATTTGCTTTGAATCTGTTTACTTATGATAAAGTGTTAATCTTGCATAAAAAATTTAATTAAGAGGTAAACTATTTTAAATACAACAGAAAATTTGAAGGATAGTCTCAAAATATTTAAGGCCCACTGCCCTCTACAAAATTCTTTTGAATTAGCTGATTTAAGCCAGACTATCAATATTTTTTTTAAGAAATTCAATTTGAACTTTTTAAAACTAAAAACAAGCACCCCACCCCAAAAAAAAATTAACACAAATTTTCAACAAAGTTTATATTAATCTTTTTTCTTGGTTTTTGTAACCAAAACTATTTTGAATGGCAGACATTTCTAAATCTACCATTCATCCATGCTTTGAATATTGTTGCTACATCTGGTCTGCTGCTTCTGCAATCCAATTGATAAAATCCAAAGAAGAATCTGTAATGTTATCAATCCTGACCTGGCATCTCTGCTTCATTTGCCACAATGTGACTTTTCTATATTCTGATGAGGTTTCCTCTCTGGTACCTAGACTTTATGAATTTAAGCACAGTACTAGATCTCATCATTTTATAGTTGAAATGGATACATGTAACCATAAGTTCTTTGCTAACAGTTTCTTTTCTCACACTTCCTGGCTGTGGAACTCTTCTAGCTTCATGTTTTCCAATCAACTTTGATCTTCAAAAATTTAAATGCAATGTCAATCGTCATCTTGTTTTCTTTATTCCTGTTCTTTTATTGTTCTCCCTTCTTAAGGTTTTTCTTTTTCATATTCTTTCACACATAGTAACCCCTTGCATCAGGTTTGGTTTTATTGCCTTTCTTGCAGTGAAATGATTAAAAAAAAAAAATCTAGTATGCATTTCTACAGTGAATTATTTAATTAAAAAAACAAAATAAAAAACAAAAGTAATATTTAGAAATAAAATAAAAGCAATTATCTCACCTTAGTACATAGTGCACACATACAATGTATTGGGATTTATGTGATCGTGGGTCATAAATAATTGTAGCTTGTGTAACAACCCAAACATGACCACCTTTTTTGGCAAGAAATCTGTACTGTTCTGTCATTATTTGACCTTTGCCCATCACTGTAACAAAGAAAATTTATTGAATTTAGTATAAGGTTAATATGGTAATAGCAGAAATAAATAAATATATATTAATAAATAAATAAATAATTGTCGGACTTTGTCCATTTCATAATGTGTGGCATCATTTATTTACATTTGGATGGTTGAGGAGTATAAATATGAATTTATTAAAACAGGTTTGGAAGACAGTAAAATCAACCTTGCTAATTGAATGATCTTCTGTGGATCAATCAGTTAAAGGCACGTCAGGCTATATGATGGTTCCGTATAGGATACAGGTTTGATTCCTGTCAGAAGATGAATATTTTCTAACTTTCAAATGACTTGGATTAGGCCAGTAAATGTTGTTTAATACTGTTTATTATAAACAGAGAGCATTAACTTAAATATTTGTATCTATGAAAAAAGAATGTATAAACATAAAATGTCTTAAAAAATAAAATCGGACTTTGTCCATTTCATAATAATATATATATATAAAACTCTAAATGTAAAAGAACAAAGAATAAAATTGCAACATTCAAAACATTAATTTTAAAACAGAGCCCAATACAAGAGTAGACTAATAAATATTCTTTATACAAAACAACATTAGAGCCATCATCATTACTATCAAAATTGAACATTTTGTTTTGATACTGAACTGAACCTTTCATTTCAGGTAATGGTGAAAATCATTCTTAATTGCCTAATGACATATTCTAGGAAAATTCATCTAGTTCTATTTTTGTACAGTTTTGCTTGCCCCATACCTCCACCGAAAAATACCCCACCATGTTCTAAAAACCAACTATGTATACCAAATTATATATATATGCTTTATATATATATATTGTCCCAATTATAAAACATATATAACTAAAAACCAAAAATGGAGAATTATATAAAGAATAAACATAGTATCAGATGGAGTCTAAACACCAACCTATTCAGCCCTTGGATGTAATTGGTTTCAAATTTCTTAGATAAAATATTTGAAATCATTAAGTAAAAAAAAAATAAAAAAAAACAAAAAAAAATTAAAAATTTAAAAGTACCCAGTCAAGTTAAAGATGTCTTTGAAATAAGTTACACATAGCACACATATTTAAAAGCAACTTGCCTATTATGTTACAGACTGAATATAAAAGAAGAGAAAAAATTGATATTATTCCCAATTATAAATTAGACTAAATTTTATTTAGAATCTACAACTATAATTTTGAACCTGAAAATTCTAATAAGAAAAAGGAAAAATATATATATATATATATATATATATATATATATATTATATATATATATGTATATTTTGCAACAGGGAATTATCTATCCAAGGAGACATTGCTCAATATCAGAAAATAGATTAATAACATATTTGATATATATATATATATATATATAAAAATTGATAATTAGTAGAGATAATTAAAAGGAGGAATTGACCCCAAAATAAAATGAGTCAATTTATGCGGATACAGATGGAAAAGGAAAACAACAAGAAAAAAAAAAAAAAAAAAAAAAAAAATAATTCTTATATTGAAATTTTATTTTTATTTCAAAAGTCTTTAAATATTAAAATTTTTACTTTTTTTTTTTTCCTGTCCCTTTCTAAATTTTTGTAGGATAAATTGATCCATTTATTAAAAAAAACTGCAGTCTGAAGAGATGAATATTTGTATATTCCTGAAATAAATTATAACCAAATGGATTTTTAAGTTTCATCTGTATTCATTATATATATATAAATATATATATATATATATATATATATTTTGTACTTCTTGCTAAAAAGACATTGTTGTTTGAAATAGTGACTTTACAAATCTCTTTACTTACAATTCTTATATGCTTTTCCCACAACTTCTCCATCAAGGGCATGATAATAATCATAGATTGGCCGTCCAATTATATCATCTGAATTGTAACCAACCAATTCTTTTATTCTAAAAAATAAAAATAAAAAATTATATTAGAACATAAATTGAGTGTATATTGATTCATTTGGACTAATTTCCTCTTTAAGAGATGCTTTCCCAACTTATCTAAATCAATACATTCTCCACATATGAGACAAGAAATTTAGAAGTACATTAAAATTAAAATGTTGCTGTTGTCATAATTACTATTATAATTAAAATAATTAGTTCAAATGGACTAATGTACAATTGTTACAATATCTAGTTTCTAAATTTTTAAAATTTAGAAACTGTTTTAATTTGTCAAAGTTTAATAGTGGAGTTTTTTGTTTTGTTTTTCAAATTATTTTTAATTAAGAGATTGCTAAATAAGAAATAAAAATAAAACTATCTTGAAAAGGTAAATTCATTCACACTTCATTTATTGGTAATTAAAAAAAGGATTTAAAAGTTTTTTTCAATATTCATGACTGAATGTAGATACATTTGTCAGAGTGAGAATTTCAAAAGTGCTTTCCCCTAACCTCATCCATTCCAAGTGTATATTATAATACCGAGGTTAGATTTAAAAACTACATCTAGTGCACATTTTTTCCCCCACACCCAATGTGTATGTGTCCGGGGGGGGGTGCATACATGTAAAATGACTTACTTTTCATCCCAAATGGTAAATTTCATATCCATACTGTGTTGACTGAGGAATGTTTTGTGACCCAAAGGCACTTCAATATTTGATGGATGAGGAATTTGTTCACCAAAAGCAAACAGATAAGTAATCATATTGCTATTTTCATTTTGGCTCTTTTTTGATTCAGAAGGCAAAATTAGTTTGCCAGTGAATTTTATCACCTGAAAAATAAAATAAGAAAACAATAAGAAAAGGTCAAAATAACCAAAACAACAAGTGATTATTTGATCAACAGGGACATTTCCTTTTTTGTTAATATTGCCATGTTTAGTTTGTCTGTCCAGAAAGTGATGGGATAAACATGAAAACAACTGGAAGAGATTTTTTTAAAAATGGTGAAGAGAGCAATTTTAAAGAAATGGAGAGAGATTACACATAATGGAAAAAAACATTTGCAAATGTGTTCATTGAAGTATTGAGCATGAGAAGACACAAAGGAAGGGGAACAAGAGAGAAATGGAGGTGGGCAAAAGGATGGAGAGAGAGAGAGGGGGGTGGAGGCAAGGGGAAATGGGAGAGACAGAGAGGGATGGAGAGAGAAGGGGAGAGAGAGAGGGACAAAGAAAGGGAGGAGGGAAGGAGGCAAAGGAGAGAGAGAGAGGGGAGGAAAGGGGACAGAGAGAGAGGGAGGGAGGAGAGAGGGGGACACAAAGAGAGAGAGAGAGAGAGAGACAAGGGGAAATGGAGAGAGAGAGACACAAGAAATGGAGAGGGGACAGAGAGAGAGGGACAAAAAAAAGAGAGAGGGAGGAGAGAGAGAGAGGGAGAAATGAGAGAGAGAGGAGGGAGACAAAGAAATGGAGGAGACTCATAAATGAGAGAGAGAGAGACACACAATGAGAGAGAGAGAGAGACAAAAGAAATGAGAGAGAGAGAGAGAGACAAAGAAATGGAGAGAGAGACACAAAGAGAGAGAGAGAGAGACACAACAGAAAGAGAGAGAGACACAAAGAATGAGAGAGAGAGAGAGAGACACAAACAGAAATGGATGGAGAGAGAGACACAAACACACAGAGAGAGAGAGACACAAAGAAATGGAGAGAGAGAGACACAAAGAAATGGAGAGAGAGAGAGATGGAGAAGAGAGAGAGAGAGAGAGAGACAATAAATGGAGAGAGAGAGACACACAGAAATGGAGAGAGAGAGACAAGAGAGAGAGACAGACAACAGAAATGGAGAGAGAGAGAGAGAGAGAGACAGACAAAGAAAGAGAGAGAGAGACAAACAATGAGAGAGAGAGAGACACACACAAACAAGAGAGAGAGACACACACACACAAGAGAGACAATGATAGAGAAAAAAATGACACACACACACACACGACACTAAGTTTCCCCATTTGCTCTTTTCTGAAGTTCTAAATTTAGTATTTTCATTATTCCACATAATTAACATTTTTAACAATATTTTTTTTTACATTTTTTGTCTTTCCTGGGGGCTTTGGGGCATGTGGTAGTTATTGAAAGTGACTTGATGCTTTTTTTTTACCCCCACTCTTTCATTTTTTATTAAACCTAATAATGTTGAACCAAGCAAGGAAACAGTCTTCTTCTAGGTGAAATAAGTTTAATGTTAGACTTTTATGTGCTGTGTTGCTTCAGGGAACTGGCAATCATGACTCTCCACAACTTCTTATCCTTCATTGCTCTAATCAATGTTTGTTCCTTAGCATACTTTCCAGTCTTGTTCTGTCATCCATTTACAGAGTCTCATTAAGTAGGTTACTTGCTGCTTTCCTGTCTCACTTGCTTTCAATATGACAAATTCTTCCAGCTATTTTTTCCTCATGTGTCATAGAGAATTTCAACTCTTTCTGATTCCTTTTTGTTTCCATTTTCCCTAAAATCTTGTTACTTACATATTCAGTCCATGTTATTATCAACATCCTTCTGTAAAACCACATCTGTTACCGAGTTTCCTCTTAATCTGTGAAAAGATTGTCCAGCATTCAGTCATATAAAAGTATTGGTATTACATACCAGTTCAGCACTTTTTGTTGTTTCTAACAAAATTTTCTTGTTTCTTAATACTTTTCTTAGCTTTTGGAAGACATCTTTTGTTGTTCTAATGTGCCTTCAAATTTGTGTTACACTTTCTGTCCTCTGTTAAAACACTTCCCAAGATATTTAAATTTATGTACTTGTTTGATTTTGGTATCTCCAATTTGTAGCTAGCAACTTGGGCTGTTTCTCTTGCTGACAAGCATACAGTCTGTCTTGTTACAAATTGATGTTCAGCCCTTCTTACTTACCTTTACTACCTTGTCTAGGAGTTCTTGCAGTATTTTTCTGTATCTATCATCAACACAGCATCTACATATCTTATGTTAAGGTGTACCCACCAATAATAAATCCTAATAGGACTTCTAGTTCTCTTAGGATCACCTCACTATAAAGGTTAAATAAATCCAATGAGAAAGACTCACCATTGACTTACGCCCCTTTTCTATACTTTTTTTTGTCCTAACTCAATTCATTTTCTTATCCATATACAGATCATTAGTGTTATCTTATGCTATTAAGATTGTGTTTACCAATAATAAATCCTAATAGGACTTCTAGTTCTCTTATCACCTCACTATAAAAGTTAAATAAATCCAATGAGAAAGACTCACCACTGACTTAGCCCCCTTTCTATTGAATTGGAAATAAAGTTCCTGCACAACTTTATATAAATTTTTAATAAAAGTTGTGTGGGACCTTTGTTTCCAATTCAATATTTTTCTGAAATCACATAATTCATTTTCTATCCATGTGTAGGAGGTTTTCTCCCAGTAAATATTCTGGAATATTCTAATATCTTTCTCAAATAAATCAAATTTTCCTAACAGTTCAAATAGATCCTTGCATTATACCTTGGTTTACAAAACACTGGTATACATCCCTTTGCATTTGTATTGGTCACTGATATCATTCTGATCATAAATATTCCTTTTTTTTTGTCTTTAATGAAAGTGCACTCTTCTCATCCTATTACTGTTCTACTTCTGCTCTTCAGAATCCAGATAAGTTTCATTATACAGCTCATTAAGCTTATTGTCCAATAGACTTTCACTTTGCTTCTTGGACATCAAATCTTATCAAAGATGGGTCTTATTAAAGTCTTGTGGAATGTTGTCACAGTCATATATTTCATTTATTATTTTGATCACAAAATATTCTAAGGCCAATACATTTATTACAATCCTATTTGGTCTTCTACTAGTGTCAATCTTAATTCAAACTTTAATATTTCAGGCCACTCCATATTTTTTTGCTGTAAAAGTTCTATGTTTGAAGTATATATTTTTTTCCATTGTGGGCATTTCCTCTTGATTTTGTTGTTTGGTAGTTTGGCTAAATCTGGGGGCAGGGAGTCAGGTCAAAAACTTTTTAGCACCCTAATACTTAATTCCAGCCCTAACCATATATTTCCCACAAGACTATAGAATTCCTAAAATAGCCATTTATTCAGTGCTTATAATACACATATTATTGCCATAAAAAAAACAAAAAACAAAAGAATAAAGCAGATTCATTTTTTAATATATATATATATATATATAAAGAAAAAATTCATAATGTCTTTAGAGGTTTTCAAAATTCTGAAAGTAGAATTAGATTTACAACTCTTCATACAAATAAACTTCATTTAAAAAGTACATCAATTTTGAGAGAAAAAACTCAATAAATGCACACAAGAAAAAACTTAATTTTCTCTATTGTATTATATTGCTACACACAAATACTGCTAAGATAGGTATTCTGAATATATAAAAGTGATTTACTTTCTAACCACAATTTTCCATCAACTATCATAATTCTCAGCATCCTTCTGCACAATCACACTTCTGTTGTTGTTTCAAGTATCATCATCTGTGAGACTTTCCAGAATACACCGACAGAGTAAGACTGATATTACATAACAGTTCAGAATTCTTTTCTTTGTTTCTAATGAAATTTTTCCGTTTCTTAATACTTTGCTTAGCTTTTAAAAGGAACCTTCACTACCGCAATGCACTTTCTGATTTCAGTATCACATATTCTGTCCTGTTAAAATGTTTCCCATATATGATGCTGAGAATATCATGGACAGAACATGTGAGCAACAAGGAAATTCTAGAGACAATGGAAACAAAAATGACACTTATACTAAACATAAGGAAGAAACAATTGAAATGAGAAAAGAGGGCATAATGAAGAAAGAGAGCTTGGAAAATTTGACACTCACAGGATAGATTGGAGGCAAGAGGGACAGAGAAAAACAACACATAACCACATAGCAAGTTTGAGTGAATGGATGGCAGGACAGGGTTTGGGAGATGTGGTGAAAAGACAAAATTTACTGAGAGCCATGGTTGCTAACCTCCTGAAGAGACAAACCACATAGATGGGAGAAGTAGGTTTATGCCTTTCATAACGGAATTTATGCCTAAATTCAAACTTCTATACTGGTAACCTTCCCAATAGTTTAATTCTTATATTTTAATATTTGTATTATTAATATACAAAGAGGATATGTGGAGGTGGTATAATAGATAATGGCTTTGAATGAGAAACTGGAGAGCAGAGTTCAAATTCCAGTCAGGTTTGTTATGTTCACTTACGTGCAAATACTCTTGGAATAGGTATGAATCCATCTCCTTCTCCCAGGGTTGAATATCAGGACAGATTGGGTCCTATAGCCTTGGTCGGTAACCAGTCTACTGCAGAAAAACCTGGTAACCTACTGTGGGAAAATTTCCTACCTAGTCAATCATGAATCAAAAGAGACATGATTTCCCAAGTGTGTATCATGTATGGCACTTAATTGACTGAATACACCAATGGAAGAAGGAGTGTTTCTATTTGCATTTAACCATAGGAAAAAGAAAATATTAAAAATATGTAGATTTTTGTGTAAATTATTGTTGAAAAATATTAAGACAAAATTATTTAATATAATAATTTATTCTTTATCACAAATAAGAATAATACATACTACAGTTAAAAGCAGTATAGAAGAAAAATATTTAAAAAAAAAAAACTTCATATCTGAATTTCTGTGAGAAGAAAAATTTACATTTGGAATGATGTCCATCTTTGTTATCAGGTTTCAGCATTTTCTTCATGTGCCTGTTAATCTAAGTAACAATGTTAACTCTTTTTATAAGAAATATATACATTTAGTGTATAAAATATTTACTAGTAATTTTTATTCTTTTTTATTTTCTACATTGAAATATTTCTATGGAAATAATTACCTCTGATTGTGCCAGAATTATTTTTTGAAGAATTTACTTTCCAGCAATGACAGATTTCAAAATCTTATGCAGTCACTTGAGGAAGGCTTATATTCCACTCTACAACCTCTTTCTTCAGATGCAACATTGCAAGCCTGTCATTATTTCAATGGCAAATGTTTCACTAGTTCAGACCTTTGGATAGAGTGTGCCACCCTCATGAAGTTGAATCAAAATCATTTTCTTTGGGTTCCAAATAGAAGAAAGTTCCTTTCTTCATATTTACCAAGAACTGTTACTTTGTTGAACAGGTCCCTGCATGGTTACCTCCCCAAATACTTGACCTCTTCAACTCAATGGTGAATTGTTATCTTTCATTTTTATCCTTATAATCTTAACTTCCTAGGACCTAGTTTTATTCATATCATACCCCCCTCCATAAATTAAATGTAAGTTCTATGGAAATAGTTTCTTCTTTCCTACTTCTTGCCTGTGAAATTCTTCCAGCTTCTTGCTTTCCAGTCAACCACAATGTTCAAAAATTTAAATGCTACATTAATGGTCATTTTCTGTCACCTTGAATCCTGTTCTTTTTATTGTTCTTTTTCTTCAATGTTTTCTTCAGATTCTTTCACACTTGCATCTTAGTAACTTTATCACCTTGCTTGGGATGAAATGATTAAAATATATAACTAAAATTTATTATTATTATTATTATTATTATTACCCTCTATCTGTAATGGATCTTGAGCACCGGATTTGCTAAAATTTACTAAGGAAAAAAAAAAAAAAATGGAAAAAACAAAAGAAAAAAAAAAAGAAAATTTTTTTTATAGATTGATAGATATAGCCATTTTATATTGTACTGATGATATGATCAAAGCTTATTTATCATTTAAGTACATCATAATATACATTTATCTATCCAGACATTTCAATAGATACAAGTCTTGAATAATAAAACTAACACTTTACTTCCCCATCCCCCCTCCAAGTTGGAAAAATTAAGTTCAGAAATTACTTCTTGTAAAGTAATTACTATGCTATCTTTATTTTCATAGGGTTTTTTTTTTTTTTTACTTTTAATGTTTACACATAAAATACTGATGTAACAGTCTGATAAAAAGTACTTCAAATTCAATAGCAGATATCATTTTTTTTAATTAACTGCATTGCCAAATTTAACACATTAAAAGATCAGTTCATTTTAAAAAAGCAGAACACCATAAAAAAGTGATTTTACTATACATGCCTACAGTTTGAAAGTCTTCATGCCTTTTCAAATTTGTACAAAAATATTTTTTTATTTTAATGAATAAGTTCTTGAAACATTCAATAATGAAGACCTTTGTTTTTAACTTTTCCTGTTCTAAGTTTTCCTGTTCTTTTTTTGAGTGGGGCAAAAATGTGTGCGTGTGTGTGTGTATATATATATATATAAAAAGTGGAATCATTTACAGAAATTAACAACTAGTATTATTAGCAGATATTCTTGAAAAATTCAATAAAAATAAATTTCTAATTTTTCTTTCAATATCAGATATGAAAGAAAATCAATGTAGAAAATATTTCCCAATAAAAACAAGTTATTTTTACATTTAAGCAACTTTAATTTTCATCATTCATTTGTAAAAATGTAAATTTCTGATATCAAAACATTTGATATTGTAGTGAATACCAATCATTTTTATTTCCTAAGAGACTATAACATTTTGACTTTCTTCTGTATAGCACAATTCATGTATTTAGTATAACAAAGTAATAAGTAACCTAAACATCAATTTATGCCCAGTCACAAATTCTGGTAATTTTATCTAATGCCTAAAATCAAAGCAAAAAATGTTTTCAAATTTAAAAAGGTTTTTTTGTCTAAGCTGAACATTTACACAAAAGAAATGTTACCAGAATGTAATGAAAAACTGAGGATCCATCTAAGTTAAAATTGTAACTGGACTTTAGTTAAGATCATTATATTTGTTGATGTAACAAATGTGGGAATCATTAAACCTTTGTTACGCACACACACACACACAAAAGCAAGTCTGAAACAAAAGTCAGAACATTCCTTTTTAGAAGGAATTACAGAAAGTGATGAAAAGTTTACTTTGATTTAAACAAATCAAGGCAGAAGTAAGTTTCAAACAAAAAGTAAAGCATGTTCCTTTTTAGGAGGGATCGCAGAAACTGTTTAATATAGCTAAAGACAAAACAATAAACAAAAATATTACAATTTGCCAAATTCTAATTTCATCATTGCTCTTTAATAACCTTAGAACGTAATGATTTTTAAAAAATAATTACAAGCAAATAAATAAAGTGAAATTCTTACCTTATAAGATGCTGATTTTATGTTTATATTTCGACCTTTATTTGTCAATGTACATTTCATTCTCACTGAGAATGACCTCCTGTAAGGATCATGTTCAAATAAATGAGATTTGGGTGAAAGCATGTCTCTGAGTTCATCATGATCACATGGATGTGTGTACTCAAAGACATTCTGGCCAAGTAATTCAATCTATAAAAATAAAGTAAAAAATATACATAATAAAATACCAAGCAATTTTTGGTCTGTAACAACAAACTTATAAATCTGTGAAAGTTTTTTTTGTTTTTTTTTCCAGTTAAGGAGTAATAATATTTATTGAATGGCATTCAAAGATTACTAACTGTATCACTTCAAAAAAATAAATAAATACTGGACAAAATGTAAAACAAAGATATTAGTTGTAATTTTTTTTTTAGTAGTAAAAGTGGATCTTCCTAGAACTTTCAGGATCTGTAGATGCGTAATTTGTTTACAAGTCAACATATTTATTTTCTTTGAATATTGATATAGATCAATGAACATTTGTACACAAATTTTTTACAAAAAGTTAAGGGCCATTATGTTATAATCTGAATCTAACTTCAGCCAAAATTTTGTTCTTAATTAGAATTGACATTTATAAAAACTTTAGCATTAAATAAAGAAATTAACCTTTAAACCAGCTTTTTGAGTGTTATTACTAAATTATATTGTTCAATACAAATTAATTTTTTTTAAACATAAATTTGTTTATTCTTTTGTTTATATCATAAATTATATTTTCAAAATCTACACAAGAAAACTGTAAATTTTAACCATAACTATTATAATTATCTGACTTGATTTGCTGTACAAAATGTTTATCCTGCCACTGAAAGTGATTCTGATCCCTGAATAATAGTGTGTTTGAATTTCAGTTGTGTTGTCATATCCTGCTATGGCAACTGAAAGCAACTTTGAGTGAAATTAAAAATAAGGATACTGCAATTGAGAGACCTTGAAAAAGAATGCAGTAGAAAGAGAAGTAATATTAATAATGCAGAGTGCTAAAGGTTAAATAAGCAATATTTTTCCACATACATTTTTTTTTATTAAAAAAAAAAATAAGGTAAAAATGCAACTCAAATGCAAAAATAGATTTATGCAATTATGAAGTAGTATTATAAATGATTAAATGTGTTAAAAGTGGTTTGCAAAGTTTTATACTAGAGATTTCTTGCTGAAGGATATTCATTGTTTCAGTACACAAGTTGTGGCTGATAGCAATCAAATGAAGACATTACTGAAGAATATTCAGTATTCCGTGAGGCAAGAGATGGTTAAAATATTTAAAAATATCCGCATCAAATGCTAAACATCATTTGTACCAACTTGGTTATGTTAGTCTCTTTAATGTGTAGCTTAAGCATAAGAGAAAAGAAAATCATGCTGGACCCTTTTTCTATGTACAATTTACTACTTAGACATAATGAAAAAAAAAATTCAACCTTTTAAACATTGTGCAGGCAACTAAAAGTGGACAATTTATGCAAAATGCAAAAGAGCATGTACCAATAAAAATGAATTTCTACTAACAAAGGTTGGTCTTCCAAAGGAAGTGATGCTGTGTATATGGCCTCTTTCCAGATAATCAAATGATTCAGTCATAATAAAAAAAAATAAATAAATACAATACTGCTTATGAAACCAATTTATGAAAACAAAAAACTTTATGACATTACTTAAGAGAAAGAGTATAATATCCATTAGAATAACACTAGACAAAATATTTCTTTGATAACCAAAAATTGTTACAGTTTGGCTGAGAAGTTTTCACTCATTCACTACATTCAGCAGATATTGCATATTTGGATTACAATTAGTTTTGCTATTTACAGAATACTTAATGAAAAATTTGAATTCCTTGTTAAGACTACAGTTCTTTGACCATAAAGATTAAAAAGGTTTTGAGAAGATAGAACAAAACTAAATCTGTTGTTCAATAAAAGTTAATGCCAAAAATAAACTTTGGTTTTTTTATTTAATATGGATAAACTTACTCAATCTTACAATATGCCACAAATCTTTTCCCTCACTAATCTAACTTTTTATTATCTCTTTGAACTAGTGAGTTATTTATATACTTAAAAAGGCTCACATGTGATAGGCCCTTACTATTATTATTATTAGAAAGTTTTAAAAAGATAAAATAAAAAAAAAAAAGAAGTCATTTTTGATGACATGGATAAACTAGCATTTTAATAAATTTTAAGTAAATTTATTATCACCAATAAATACCTGTCACTATTATGAGTCAGTGGTGAGTAAGTTGACCTAACTAATGGAAAGTAGTGGTGACTCATTACAATATGTAGTAAAATTAATAAAGGTAGAAAAATCATTAAATATTTGAGAATATGTTATAAAATAAGACTGCTTTGTAGACATGCTATTTTAGATTTAGTTTCAGAAAATGGCCAAAATATACTTAGCTTTTCATTGTTTACAACACAGAAATTTATTTTTTACTTACCCTGCATGAAAATATAGAAACAAGAGATATTGCTTACATATTTAACAAAGGAATTTTCAAATATATACTAACAGATCTGTCCCAATTTTTTTTATATATTTTGAGAATGAAAACTGTTTTCAAATATACACTTATAGTATTTGCATTATCCCCTAACTTGTAACAAAAAGGGATTAACAATTTTTCTATTCTCAAAAAATGAAGATAAAAGTTTTTATTAAAATATGTAAAAGTTATTACTCTTCAGTCCAGGACAGACAGGTTGTAAAATTAATTCAAAATAAATTTGCTTTTGGGGGTGGAGAAAGAAATTGGAGAAGAGATTAGAAAACAGTGAAAAATACAATAAATGGATGTTCTAGAATAACAGGGAGTAGTTTACCAGAAAAAAAAGGGGTGGGGATTATAGCCCTTCCAGGCTATTCTGGACATAAAAGTATGAAGCAGAAGTTTAGAAACTACTATATATATATATATATGAAAAATGCTGAAAATAAGTGAACTAATCAATATTTGTGTTTTAAAATTTGTAGCAAATCTATTAATGCTCTTAAAGTAGATTAACAAAAAAAAAAATTAATTATAATTGAACATTTTTTTTTTTCTGAAGTTTGTAGAAACAGGAAGTTTTCCAGAAAGAAAATTGGAACTTTAAATTTAGAAAATACAAACAACGCCAATTTCAGGAAGTGAGCCAACAGCAGACTTCATACCAACTTATGCTGACCTAATTTACAAAATTCCTTCTTGAATAAAATAAAAACAGAATAAAAATATACATACCTAAATATTTTTATAAATACCCAACATATGTTGGTACAGATCCTGTTATATTCTATATAACACGCACACACACACACTACTAAAAACAAAAATTAAACTACATTTGCTCCATATGATTGACAAAATGACTTTAGAGGTTTTCATTTTAAGAATCAATTAGGTACCTCTACTAATTCAATAAACGTAAGATTTAAAATGAATTTTTAAAAATGAAAACACTTTTTTTGAAGCTTTCGTTTTAGGTTTAACTGAAAGCTAAAGGATTTGAAATTTACTATTCCCAGTAAGCAAAATACTGTGGTGTATTTCAAACAGAAATTATACTGATCAGAATCAATTTGTTTTTTTCAGTAAAGTCAATAAAAATCGGCCCCCCACCAAAAAAAATAAAAAATTCTCAGTTTTAAAAATTTTCAAAAATAAAATATATATTTCTGAAATGTTATTTGAGGAAAATTATCAAATTTAATTTACTTACTCATAGCATAAAATGTATGCAAACATTTCTTAAGTAAAGAGAGATGGGCCAGAATGGGAGTTTATTTATGACCAAAGCCTTTAGTTGTATGCAAATGAATTTAGGTTCCTTCTAGGGGATACCAAACTATACCAACAGCATATGTTTTAATAGGATTGACAATAAATTGTATTTTGACAATGAGAGTTTTATATTATTAAGTGATGGGGTATTTAAAGACAAAACAATTTAAAGTTAGAATAAATTATCTAAATAATAGATTTCCAAAATCTCTAAGTAATAGCAAAACACCCAATGGAATAAATCATGCTGTACTACACATACATATGTGTACCTATACACACACATACATATGTGTACCTATACACACACATACATATGTGTACCTATACACACACATACATATGTGTACCTATACACACACACACACACACACTATCCATCCTCTTTAGAGAGATATCTCATGCTCTCCCCTTGTCACCAATCCAGGTTCCTTATCTAAACCAGGCATCCCTTTGAGTAGGCCTGTACCTTCTCTCCAACTGCTATCTAAATTAAATTCACCCCGCCACCCGTATTCCAAGACAGTCTAGGGCTGGATAAGACTGGCATAAGGTTGTGCCAGTTTGAAAGACTATACCCACATGAGGTAATTTTGGATTTTTGCTGTACAATACATATGCTCTGTTATAATAAATACATTGAGCTCTCTCTGTGATATATACCAACAGATCTATTACCTGTAATATATATGTTTTAATATATATTTAGGCAGCAATCTTTCTTTGTAATATTTTTCATTAAATATGGCAAAGAAATTTTTTTTTATTTAGTTTTACCAATGTTCTTACATTTTTCTGGTTAGTGGAAGTAAGGAGTGAACACACACACGTGTGTATGTGAGAAAGAGAGAGCGACACAAGAGCCAGTTTTTATAAAGGTTTATATTTTAAAGGAAAATATTTTACGAAATGACTTTAAAAATGGACAGCAGTTTTTCTTTCACATCTCATATACAGACAGTCATATAAACATATGTTAACATATGTAAGCAGAGAAATTGTTAGTATTAAAAGACCATCTAATGTTATAGATAATACTGAAATAGCTGATGAATTTTCATCAGCAAAACAAAAAGAAAAGAAAATTTCTGAAAGCATATAAGGATGGCAACAAAACCATGACAAAAATGTAGCTTAACTAGCGAACATGAATTGCAAATATGACACTTCTGAAAGTGACTAATGCAAATTGTCAAAATTATTTTATTTTTCAAACACTTTTTAGCCTTGTGGAATGGAAATGTGAGTCAATTGTATCTAGTTGCTATGTATTGTGTATTCAACTTATAGGTAAGACAGTGCAAATTATATTCAGATGGCAAGGGAAACAAAAGGCATCAGAAAGATGTATTAACAATAATATTTTCCCATGGAGAGCAGTATAAGAATAATCTAACTCCATGAATTGAATAAAGGGTTTAAGTCAGAATCCCACAAAAGGATACCAAATATGATTACCATCTGAAGATCACAGGGTAGAAAAGCTAAAATGTTTTGATTAATAAATACAAGCTTAGCAAATAATAATGCTGTTAACATTTTTTTTTTTTACAAAAACATAACTGAAATGCTGTTTCACTTCAGATATAAATTAAATATCAAACATGTTCAGACTAATATCCTTATCTTTTTATCTATTCTTAATAATTATAATGTTCATTTGAAGTAATGTAAATTGTCAGGATAATCATTCTTAAACTTTGTACAAAGAACCTAAGATTTGTTTAACTTTCATAAACTTTTTCATATTAAAACTAAATAGTCACTATTTATATTCAGACTATTCTTATCTTTGTGTTATCACAGCATTTCAACCATTGTGACCTTCATCAGGTGTATATGAATCTGGGTAAATTACAGAGAATTCTGGACTGAACCCTTTAACCTAGAGTTAGATTTTTCTTGTTCCACTGCCCATATCTAGGGATAGTTCATTTAGTTATTTTTAGCACTGCTCAGTTATTGCATGTTCTATTTCAACTGAGTTCAAGTACATACTGTTTGACTCAGAGATTGAACTCACAATAACTATGTCACCAAATTCACAAATCAACACTTCAATTCACTAGACTATGATAAATAGCCACTGTTAAAAATAAGATTTTACTGTACCAACTATTTAGTCAGTAATATATGTAATGCACGCTGGGGCAATCATGTCTCTTTTGATCATGACTGACTAGACAGAAGATTTTCACACAGTAGGTTGACATTTCTTTCTGCAGTAAACTGGTTGCTAAACAAGGCAATAGGATCCAGTCTTTCCTGCTATTTAACCCATGGGGGGAGAAGAGGATACATATCTTTCCCAAGAGTATTTGTGTGTAAGTGAATGTAATTCAAACTTGGCTCGAAAAATTTCTCATCCTGAGCCAATATAAATTACCCCCAAAATGCATATCCGTACCAACTAATTTAAAAGCGCAAAAAAATACATTGCGCAAATTCATCCTCAATAACTTATTGCCTACATGACTATCAGGCAAAAAACAAGATGCACATAAAAGGTAAACATTTTCTATTACTTTTAGACTTTAACTTTATGCATATATGTTAATATAAGTGGAAATCTAAGTGAAGTTTTAGAGCACTATTTTTGTTTTAAGATTATTTTAAAAACTCAAATGTAAAAATAAAAATCTGCCACTATTCAAGGATTAATAAATGAATAAAAAAAAAAATGAATCATCATTTTGTCAACAGTTGATTTAAATTAATTTATAAATAAACAAATGATAATTAAATTATTCTTATGTACAATTAATACCTTTGTTTGAATTATTCACATCATTTTTTTACTTTCAGTTTTATGTAGATGTTTAAAATAAGTAATTATTTGTCATTTTTTTAAAAATGATTTATTTCCAGTCTTACAGAAAAGTAATACTAGAATTAAGTAAAGTATAGAAATAAATGTTAGGAAATAACAATTATAAAAAGAAATATTTTTTAAAAACTGGACATTTGAAAAGAAATTTAGGTATTTTAAACATCTGTATAACCACTTTATTTTTAAACCTATATCAAAATAATATAGCTCTTATAACAATATAGTTTTAAAATTTAAATTCTAAAACATCTTTTTAATCATTTCACCTCAAGCATGGCTACAAAAAAAAAAAAAAAAGAAGCCACTAAGACACAAGTGGTTACTGAGTCTTAGAGAATATAAGAAAAAAACTTAATGAGCAAGAACAATAAAAAAGAACAAGAATTAAAAAGATAGAAAATAATGATTGATGTTACATTTAAGTTTTTTAAGATCAAAGTTGATTAGAAAGCAATAAGCCAGAAGAGGGTTCCATAAGCAAGGAGTGTGACAGAAGAAACTGTTAGCATAGAACTTACGGTTACATGTATCCATTTCAACTAGAAAATGATGAGACCTTGCTGCCAATCTAGTACTGTGCTTAGATTCATAAAGTCTAGATACCAGAGGAAAGTTCATCAGAATAATTAACATGAAAGTAATTATAGAAAAGGCACAGGGAAGCTACATTATGGTGATGGGAAAGCAACAGAAGCTGAGATGCCAAATCAGGGTCAATAACATTGCAGATTCTTTGTATTTAATCAAGAATCTCTAAATACATAAACGAACCAGATCAGATATGACAGCAATTAATTCAATATAGTCTTTCCATTTAATGTCAAAAACTGTGTGATTGAAACAAATAACCATAATAGTGAATTATTTGATAACTAAATATAGAAATTTATGTGGTAATTTTCTAAAATGCTCTAAAGTATTTTTATAATATACACAAAACTGTATCTGTCTATATTTCTGAGATGAGGTATTATGTACACTATTTACATTGCTTGGACTATCATCCTTATCTTTGTTGCCATATTTATCACAACGTTTCGGCCGTAGTAGTACACTCTAGCCTTCTTCAGGTGGTTGGAATGTTGAACTGAATCCTTTATTTCACCACAATAGGCAGATGTTCTATGTGCCATGTTTAGTGGATGTCAGTTATCAGTTATCTCCTGTTAATTCCCCTCTCCAAGTTCTCTACCACGTTAACCAAAGAGTGTGAGTTCAATACCTGGTTAAGGCGGTGGAGAACTTGGAGAGGGAAATTAACAGGTGAAAACTGATAATTGACATCCATGGCATGTGGAACTAGAACAGTCTACCCCAGCGAGCGAAATAAAGGGTTCAGTTTGACATTAGAACCACCTGAAGAAAGTCGGAACGTATAACGATCGAAACATAATAAATATGGCAACAAAGATGAGAATGGTAGTCCAAGCAATGTAAATAGTATACACAAAACGATTTACCAAGTATAAAAAAATGTACAGGTTAATTTTAAAAAATAAGGATATGGCATTTTGTTAGATTATTAGAATATATATATATATATATATTCTTTGAAAAACTGTTTTTTATTTTATTTTACAAAGCAACATTTTTTCCTAAATTCATTTCAACTCTTTAGTTATCTTTACATTTGTATTTTTCTTCTTTTATATATAACTAAGCTTGAAAATATTTCATATAAAATACATTGTTACTCACTTTGATGGAACCACACCATTTATCTTCATTCCTCAAAACGTTTACTATAGAACTTGGTAAGTAGTTGTAGAGAATTCTTACAAATAGGAAATTCTTAGCTTATAACATTTCAGCCTTCATTCAGCTATCATGAATTGCAAACAAATTACTGAGTGCCAGTTAAAGGATTCACACAAACCTTACTTTCTTAAACACTTAATGATAATAGTGCACCATTGTTATAGGAGTATTATAGGAAAGTTAAAATAAAGCAAAAGACTTACCTGCTGTATGCCAAGAAACTTTACAACTTGTTCTGATAGAAAAATTATTTCACCTTCTTTAGAAATGATGACAAGGAATCCATCCAATGCCTTTGGATATAAAGCAAGTGTTTTCTGTTCAAGCTCATTTATTTCTTCTTCAGTTTTCTCATCAAGTTTTTCATCAGAAACTGAAAAAAAAAAAAGAAAAATATAAACCACTTTTCTTTGCTTATTTTTTCCAAAGAAATCATGGCAAGTCACAGATAAAGAAGAAGAATTTGTAGAAAAACATGATTTCTTATAGCCCAAAAGAATATGGAATTAAGAAAAAAAAGAAAAAAAAATTTAAATAGAAAAAATCATATCAAGACATTGATCATTTATTACCACTTTAACTAATAACTTAATCAATATACAAACTTATAATTACACAAGTTACTAGTACACTGTGCAGTCAAAAATGACAGCAACTGTTAGAAAGTTTTACTAATGATATGCAATGAAACATAAGTCTGGAAACAATGTGTTGAGATTCAATAATACGGAGATAAAGAATTCACAAGTAAAATAAACGCCAACGAACCGTTTAATTAATCCATTCCTTTTATATTTTTCAGATGATATCTATGGTTCATTGATTACTCCTGGTATTATATAAATCACTTTTTGCTCAATATCTTTTCATGTTAAAAATGTTATGTGTCTAATATTACAGTGAAATGGAAATATCTCTCAAAAGAAAAAGATTAGCAACAAAGTAACAAAGCCAATATTAAGATCAAGTTGAAGCAAGATGATCACTTAATAGACAAAGGTATCTTAATGCCTCACATGAAAGGCTTGAACAAATAAGAATGCAAGTAATGTAGAAGTAAAGGAACTGATTAATTAATCAGGTGATTTTGTTTAGGAAGTAAATTTTGTCTAAATACAGATAAATATGTTATTTGTACAGATTATTAAAATGACTAAGGGAAGTAATCAGTCAAATTTACTTAAACTGATTTACCTACCTTCCCACTACATAGGGAACAGGAATAAATGCATATTGATAATTATTACATAGATGGATTCTAGAAAAATAAACAATCTGACCAAAAAATTGTTATATGTGAGTTAGAATGGCCATCACTTTTCATTTTTGACTGAGTTTAAAACCAGCCTTGTGGGTGATGAATTGTTTTCCACAGAGAAAATGTTGCAAGTCCCTCTACTCTATTGCTATTTCTATGACAAATGCTCTGACAAGATACACTTCTTAGTTCCAGTAGTTCTGACTTTCACAACTAAGACCCACACTACCATATAGAATGAAACAAATCACTCCCATTACTTTCATATTCTATTGGCAAGAATTTAATTCAGTCTGTATTGACAACCACTTTTCTGAAAAACCTTAAAAGAAAGCTAAAGAATAAGCCAAAATATTGTGATAACAACCTGAAAAATACAAATGAGTTCAAATATTTGAGTTCAATGGAATGTTAATGACTCAATTATATAGACAAAAAAAATCATTAAGCACTAATTATAAAGTGGAACCAACATTCTAATTGCAAATTCAGAGATAATATGTTATATGTACATTTAAACCAACCAAGTAAGTAAAGCAATAAAAAATAAAAATGTGCTTATATGTGTTCTGTCTGTAAGAGACATTTTTAAACAATACCAAATTATTAAAATCCATCTCATCTGACATCAAAATCAACAGAATAATTGTTCTCTTAACAGTAAAGATAAAGTTCCACTTACCTATGAATAATAAGAGAAACATTTCTAATTACATCAAGCATTTCAAAATGTTCGATAAGAATCACTGATAATATACACATGTTTAGTAAATATCAGGAGCTTCAACACAGAACAATAATTAACAAGTTTATAAACTACTATAATGAGTAAATTCTTACTAGTTATTTACACTTATGTCTTTCAGCCTGACTAAGGCAAGTTTAGTAATTATAAATAAATTAGTTTGCTTGTAAGTTATAATATAAGCCTGTAGATAAATAGAAAAATAAATTTATTAAACATTTGATTAAGTTGGTTAGGCCAAGAACTTTTTTCTGTGTGTGTCTGTGTGATTTCTACATGATTTCCACAACATGAGTGTGTGCATATATATATATATATATATTAAAAAGCTTATATGTGTTTTCACTGACAACTTTCCTAATCAAAGGCATCCTGCCTGTTTTGTTAGATATATCTCTCTCTCTCACACACTCACTCACACAAGTTGAGGCAGAAATACCTCTACATTTTAAACCATCAAATGTGTGACTAGCAGTAGAGCCCGGCGTTGCCCGGGGATATAACAGTAACAGATAGATCAAGTATCCACCATCATAAAGACTGAAAAATAAAATTGACAAAGATTATTGTTTAAGGTTGACGGACACGCATGTCTGAATTTTTTTTTTTTTTTTTTTTTTTACAAATTGGTCAAACCCAAACTCAAACAAAAACATTGTTTTCAATCGTTATGAGTCTCTACCGATTGAATAGAATTTTATCATAAACAATTGTCTTGTAAATGGAATTTTTAAAGCATTCTGAATGTAAAAATAAAGAAAAAAGTGTGCAAGCCAATAAGAAACACTACATGCCAAAAACAAAGTGAAGTTTTGTTAAAATCGGTTGAAAAATGTAGGTAGCCTTTCTGTAATCTTTTAGTTTTACAATTTATTTTTACTTATTGAATACAGTAAAAAAAAAAATTGCATATTTTGCTTGTAGTGATTCATAATTAGAATTCTGATTTGAATATATTTTCCACTCGTTGTTTCTAATACAAAAAAATATTAACTTTATTTGGGTTTATTAATTATGATCTAACAAATCTTATTCATTTAGTAGCCTTTCTGTAATAATAATCTTTTTACAATTTATGATTTTTACTTATTGAATACAGTAAAAAATTGGACACCATGTGTATTTAAAAAGTTTTCCGTTATTATTTTTTTAGTTAGGACTTGTGTATGTTTAGATTTCATTATCTTTCCCTAAAGATAAAGAATTTATCCGATGTTTGTATTCGTACAATCAGTAAAGATCGTTAGATTATTGTTTAAGGTTGACAACGGACACGCATGTCTTAATTAGTTTTTTTTGTTTTTTTTACGAATTGGTCAAACCCAAACTCAAACAAAAACATTGAATAGAATTTTATTATAAATAATTGTCTTGTAAATGGAATTTTTAAAGCATTCTGAATATTAAAAATAAAGAAAAAAAGTGTGCAGGAGAATAAGAAACACTACTTGCCAAAAAAAAGAAGTGAAGTTTTGTTTTATCGGCTGAAAAATATAGGAAATCCAATCCTATATTTAAAGGAACCCACACACACAAAGAACCCAATGTGAGTTGTCCCCCTTCCATTTTCACGATGTCTCTTAATCATGTTTTCAAATTGATTTTGTGCAAAAACAATTATATTTTTCCCATTTTTGGCGCTGTTAGAACCACCACAAGGTAATTTTATGTAGTCCTGTGAAGTTTTGTTGAAATCGGTTGAAAAATGTAGGAAATCCAATCCAATATATAAACGTTACAGACACACACACACAATCTGCGTTTTATAATAAGTAAGATGCTAGTCAACTTAGACTAGGGGCAATGGTACCTTCATCTAGTTAATGTGTGGCCCCCTTCATCCCCATCAATACCATCAGTGACCATCATGGTATGGACTGATGTTGAATCTGTAATTGCAATACAGGGAACTTTCCATGTTCATTTCATCAGAATGATAGTGTTCTGGATAGAAAACCGAAACTTATGGGTTGAAAATTTCAGTGACACAGTTTCAGCACTTAAAAGAAAACCACCTTGAAGAACTTGAGGTGCTCAAACTCCAGACAATGTCCAAGATGTGAGACAGTTCCCATAGCTGAATGTGTAGGAAATTGCATAAGAGACTATCTCAACTTCCAGCCATACAAATTAATGGTTGTTCAGGAATTGCATGTACACAACTGGGAAATATTACATGGAATGCTTTTATGATAATCTTCAATATGTTCTTGCAAATGCTGCTGTTGAAGTGCACTTTTATCTCTGACTGTATGAATAAACAGAATTTATGCGCTACAGGGTGAAAAATACTCCTAGACAGCTTCATGAAAGACATCGGCACAGTGAACAAATGTCTGGGTGATGAGCAGTTGCAAAATTTGGTGTATGGGGCCCTTTTTTGAGCAAGGAGACCACTTGGTTAGAGTAACATGTAACTGGTATATGTAGACATTTCCAAGACTAAAACTCCAAGACAATGGGAGTCTGGATGTGTGGTTTCAACAGGATGCAGCCACTGCACACTCAGTGGGAAGATCAATTGAAGCTTTAAAACAGATTTTTCCAGGATATTTGATTTCATTATGTGGTGACATTAGAATGGCCTGCACATGCAACTGGTCTCACCCCATGTGATTATTTTCTCTGGAGATTACTTGAAAGCTGAGGTCTACAAAACATCAACCAATTAAATGATGCTATTCACTTGAATGTCAGATTTACTGCCAGAAATGACTCTTCAGGTGATGGGAATCTTTAGAAATTATCTACAAGTCATTATTAATACAAAATTAATAAAAACTATAGACCTTTGTTTAAATAACAGTGATTATATATATATATATATATATATATATATATATATATTGCAGTTACTTTGGTCTTTTTGTCAACTTTTAAAATGTGAGAGATATTTCTGCTGCACCATATATTTCACTCACACACACAGGGTATGATGGGTAAATTGTCACCATTTTATATTTTTACTTTTGTACATACACATTGTTCGTTTTTGATTTTGTTGACTACACCGTATAATAGAGCCAGTTGGGTACCATGATGCAATTCACTCTGCTAGAAATTTGGAAATGGTATGATGTACTGCTTGGCACCAGAAGCTTCAATATGAACATTTCCGAGTGTTTGGGTACCAATCTGATGACAGAGCAAAGGATTCGGAAGGAGTTGGATTAGTGTAATGTTGATTACGAAGGTGTTTGAAGTGATCACTAGTGATAGTGATGTTATGCCTACATTCATCTTCCCACAAAGCCTCAGACTCAACACGGAGACCTACATCAAGTGCCTTGAGGAGGTAGTGCCACCCTGGGTCAAGAAAGCTGCTGTTGGAAGACCCTATGTCTGGCAACAGGACTTTGCAAGATGCCAC